ATCTCTCTCTCTCTCTCTCTCTCTCTCTCTCTCTCTCTCTCTCTCTCTCTCTCTCTCTCTTTCTCTCTTTGTGGTCAGACGAAAGAAGGAACACTTGTTTTTATGGTCGCCACTGTTCAGAATGGGAGTGTAGTCTTCACCGGGAGAGCCTGTGGATAAGTTAAAGCTACTGCCTACTTACCTGTGGAGGAGTATTTCTTGGCAGACGTGAAATCGCGAGCAACCTTTCTCTCAGACGTGTAATTGAGAACAAGATTTCTAAGACATAAACATTAACTTTTTCATAAAGATTGTTTTCCTGACTTCGAGTGTTACGTTTGTGTGTTCCATGTGTATATTGCTCCTGGCGAGAGTTCAGCGAACCCTGACAAGTTTGGGTTGGTTGGGTTTTTTTTTGGATTTTTCACTCTCGGCAGACGTGAAATTGTGAGCAGCATTTCTCAGACGCGAAATTTACTGCAGGGTTTCACTCAGCAGACATAAACTTTTAAAAAGTTGTAAAGATTTGTTTTTGGCTTTGCATTTTCAATTCGTGTGTTGATATACAATTATTGCTGGTGCTGGCAGAGCAGTGAACCGTAGAACTATAGATTGTTTTCCCTCCACGTCTAGTCTTCTGTGAGATCTCGCATAATTTCTTGAAAAGTGAAGGCAGTTGTTGTGGAGTGGTTTTTTTACTTCCTTTTTTTAAAGTTTATTTTTTGGTTATTTTTTTTAATTGTTTTTTTTTTTTTGTTGTTTTTGGGGGGGTTTGTTGGTGGGTTTTTTTGGATGTTCGATCGTGTGATCGTGTGTCGTGCACCAAGAATGTCTGGACTCTGCTGCTCAGGGAGGTCATCCTTTGGTATGTTGATTGTTTGTCTGTGTGTGTGTGTGTGTGTGTGTGTGTGTGTGTGTGTGTTGTTGATTTTGTTTAATGTTGGTGGATAAATGTACTATAAAGAGCTCTCTCTGTATCATGATAGGGGTTTGCCATTACTTCATTCATTTGTGATAAATTGCTGTTGCTGTGGTTACAACTCTTCATGTTGGATCATGATATATGAGTGGTTGGAGGGCGTTACCGATAGAGGTCTGGTCTTACTTATTTGCTTGTCCTCTGTCTGTCTGTCTGTCTTTTTCCCTACCTCTTAAATGACTAGTATTGTGTTGATGTTCTTCCCATTACTCAAATTCAAACAAACAAGGATCGTATGTTAAAGATATGTTGAGAGACTATCCACGTTTTGGTCGGTTGCTTCGTCAAGTGCTCAAATCCAGGTGACACAATAATGTTTTGATCAGTCTGTTTCCTGTTTCGGGTTGACGTGTTTTATTTTTCTTGCTATCAACTTGTGTATATTCATCAGTGTCATGGTGGGTGGTTGGCGGCTGATCTGATGTGTGGGTGGTTGGCGGGTGCTCCGGTGTGGTTTGCTTCTTCTTTCCTATCAAACATCTATCATCTTTATCTCCCCTTCTTTTTTTTTATGTTTGTTACTCTCTTGTAACACCTCTAATCTTCTGGCGCTCATATGACCTTATGCAGTTGCCTGCGCCGTAAAACCTCTACTAAAACTAAACTACTCTGATGTGTTTTGCTCTTTCTTTCCTATCTCAGCCCCTCGTCTTTTTTTGTGTTTGTTTACTCTCTTGTTATATTTTTTATCTTTGTAATTTATGTGACCTAATTGTTTTGCAAGTGCCTTAAAACTCTTTAAAAAACAAAAACAAAAAAAACAAAAACATCGGTGCTCAAGTCCAGTGTAGATTTAGTATTTTTTAGTGGTGTGGTCTTGATGCACACTGTTTTGGGTTGATGTTTCCTTTCTTCTGCTGACTCTCAGTTTCTGTATACATCAACCGTGTCGTGACTAACATTGCTGTCAGGTTATGGCAGGGTTTTAAAAAACTATTTCAGTCTCATTGTCATTGATTGCAGGATAGCTCTCTGTGGTTTGGAGAAAAAACTGTCTCAGTGTCATTGATGGCAATAATAGCTCTCTGCAGTTGAAGAAAGACTGGCTGTCTTCTCTTCATGCTGTTGGTTATCCCGCTTTCTTTGTCTCCAGTTTTGACTCCTGTGTCATTGTCAAAAGCATCTGTTTCAGTTCATATCCTTATAGGGAAGTCGTTGTATCCCGAAGGCTGCAAAGTGTTTTTTCAGAATCGAGACAGAATGTTGTAGTTTGATAGACGTAGTAGAAGATGTGTTGTAGGTTTGCAGTAAAAAAAAATATTGTGCAACGGATAAATGGCTTAGATCAGATGTAAATTCTTTATTGTGCAACTTTTTAGGGAAGACAAAGTGCAGATCTTGGGTTTATGGTGGGGGGGGGGGGGGGGGGGGGTTAAGGGAATTTTTAAATTTGATCAGGAAATTTGCACTTATATGATATTTAGGGGTTTGTGTTAAGTACAAAGGCTCTGCTTTGTCAAGCGAGTGGAAAAAAATGGTAACATTAAATTTTAAATTCTGTTTTATAGCATGTCATTATTACTGAAATATGAGTCAATATTAGGGTAAGCCTTTCCAGGTGAAGGTTAATTTGGCAGGTTGTAAGTATTCCCATAATTTAAGACTTTGACTTATTATTTGATGAATATGAAAATCGAACATGATTCCAACAGAAAAGAACAATACAAAATTTTTTTAACATATTAATACAGAGATTGAATAGTTGATTTAACATCAAACCAAAAATAGTATTGAAAGAAATATTGCCAGAAAGAGGTTTAAATTGGCCTCAAGTTAAGAAAAAGGAATAAGCTGTCAATGTTACCAATAGAAATTTTACCTAAGAGAGCATCAAGACCTCAAGCTGATAAAGCAAAACAATAAAAACAAATTTGACTCAACTTCACCATTTTAAGTCGTCCTGAAAAGTGACATATTACCAAAAAATATACATGTTCCTATAGAGACCATTTAGGCCTCAAAACAGGTAAATAAAATAATTTATAAAGAAATAATTGATGTTCCCGTAGAGAGCATCTGAGATGTTAACCTAATTGTACTGCCCATGTTGTGTCTGCAGCCAACACAGAGGTGGTCACGGACGACGAGGACGGACTACAGCACTACGGCCACGCCCATGGCGAGTACAAGAAGAAGCGTGGCCTGCGACGCCTGTTTGGCCGACTCAAGCGCAGCAGCTCACAGGACTTTGAGGGCGGGCGGGAGCGAGGAGACGGGGAGGGAGAGTTCCGGCGCGGGGGGATCCGGGCAACTGCCTCGGCACGCCTGGCCTGGAACAGGGATGTCAAGGGAAGGATGTGAGTGTTGGGGCCAGGGCAGGGGGACTGAGTGTTGGGCATAGGGGAAGGGCAGGTGACTGGGTGTTGGGGCCAGGGCGGGACACTGAGTGTTGGGGCCAGGGCGGGAGACTGAGTGGGCTGGGAGGGAGGGCTGGGTGTTGGGGGGGGGGGGGTGAGTGTAGGGGGCAGGATGGGTGGCTGAGTGTTGGGGGCAGGAGCGGGGAACCGAGTGTTTGGGGCTGAATTCGGGGGGGGGGGGACTGAATTTTGGGGGCAGGATGTGGGACTGAGTGTTGGGGGCTGGGCGGGGAACGGCTTGCTGACTGACTGACTGACCTATGGCCTGCTACAGTTCAAATTTGAAACAAACTGATTTATATTTTACATGCATTACTACATTACATACCATTGTGGTAAAAGCTATTCGATAGTTGTGTTCAGTAGGTGGTTGGTAGGTGCTCTGGTTTGGTCTGTTCCTACATTTCTGTATTGTTTTCATTCCTTTTGTACATGTATGTAGTATGTGTGTCTGTTTTGTGTATATATGAATGTGTGTTAATTTATGTGTGTTGCCGTGACTCCCTTCTCAGAAGCAACACGGACGTGCCCTTCACCCGCTGGGACTCGGAGCGTGTGACGGCCTGGATGAACGACATAGGACTCAACATGTACCTGGTGGACTGCAAGCGCTGGGTGCGCAACGGGGAGCAGCTCTTACGATGTTCTCAGCATGACCTTGAAAAGGTGAGAGCCCTAGCTCACTCGTTGCATTGACCCATAAGGCCGGCAACCCTTCCCTGTGTGTGGGAGCTCTGGTGTAGTTTGCTCCTGCTTTCCTATCATAGATCTATCGTCCTTACCTCTCTTACTTCTTTTCTTTGTATGTTACCATCTTGTAACACCTCTAGTCTTCGACATTTCTATGACCAGTTTGTGTTGCAACTGCCGTAATCCTTTTACTGGAACTGAAATTTAACACCTCAAATCTTGGGCACTTGCATGACCTATTTGTAGCGTAAGTGCCATAAAACTTACTGACTAAAACTAAACCTGAAAATCTCTAATCTTCAGCACTTATATGATCTGTCTGAGCCATGAGTGCCATAGCACACTTAATAAAACTAAAATCCCTTAAATTTTTGCCACTTATAAGACCTATTTGTGTTGCAACTGCCTTAAAACTTTTACTAAAATGAAAACTCATTGTTATCATTGTATTCATTTTTTAAATGTTTTTTTTGTCCTCAGGAGCTGGGCATGAAGAACATGCTCCACCGCAAGAAGCTGCAGCTGGCCCTGCAAGCTGTGACCTCTGAACTCCCCGACCTGATGCACGAGCTGGACCACAACTTTGTCGCACGTGAGTCTCCTGCCTATGGTAGTGTGGGTGGTTGGCAGGTGCTCTGGTGTGGTTTGATCCTTCTTTCCTGACCAGCAACTATCATCCATATCTCTCTTTCTGTTTGTTGTGTTTGCTACTATCTTGTAGCACCTCTTTTTCTTCAGCACTTAAACGGGTTACAAGTCCTGTACAACATCAAAAAGCCTACATATCATCCGTGGATGTTGGTGGGTGCTCTGGTGTGGTTTGCCCCTTCTTTCCTGTCAAACATCTATCATCCATATCTCTCCTCCTTTTTAGTGTGTGTGTATCTATGTGTGTTTGTTACTCTCTTGTAGCACCTCTAATCTTCGGCACCTGTACCACCTGTTTGTGTAACGAATGGCTTAAACTCATTGCCGACACGTCTGACACAGACAAATGTGTCTGCCGAATTTTACGGATTCCTTTGGTACGCATCCTAAGGGATACAAGTTGATAACTAGAGAAATATAAGTTAAGCCATTTTTATACATTTTATGTCCCTTTGACCGCTGACTTATTGAACTGATGCTGTTTTTCAAAGCGTTTTTGTTCTAATCATTGATTGATTGAAAGTATAACCGAAAATGGCAGCGTCCAGGAGAAGTCTAACAGTTTTTTTAATGCGCTTGAAATTGTGATGGAAGATGGATCTAACGAAGAAGATGGAGTACGGTAGTTGTTGATTTAGAAAGTGAAGCTTGTAGTTCTTTGGCAGACAATAGTTCTCCTGATCCAGATGATGAGGAAGAGGTGGTTCTACTTATGCCTGGAGGAATTGGTTGTTTTTTTGGTCTGACGGACCACTTTTTCTTCAATAAACTGCATCAAAGTTATTGCTTTATTAGCTAAATGATGCTATTACCTAAAAAGTTCTATTGTTCTAGTTTCTATAACAGAAAATTATTTTGTTCTATCTCTAAAGGTAACGTTTTTATGGGCCCCTGAAAAAGACTAAGATTCATGCGTCACCAGCGAATGCAGCTGTCTCTAACCCTGCATCTGCAAAGAGTTAAAACTTTTACTAAAACTTAAAGTCCTGATGACCTGTGCTGATTCTGTTGTTTTGCTTCTGCCGCTCACCAGGCTGGCTAGATGACATTGGCCTGCCCCAGTACAAGGACTCCTTCTACGACGCCAGGGTGGACGGACGCATGCTTAACTACCTCACTGTTGTGAGTACTCACACAAATGTTTTCACACTCGCACACAAATACAAGCAAGCACGCATACAAACACATTTGATAAAACGCACAGACAGACACAGATTCAGTGGGTGGTTGGCAGGCGCTCTGGTGTGGTTTGCTTCTTCTTTCCTATCAAACATCTATCGTCCTTATCTCCCCTTTTTCTTTTTTATGTTTGTTACTCTCTTGTAACACCTCTAGTCTTCTGGCGCTCATATAACCTTATGCAGTTGCGAACTCTGTAAAACCTCTACTAAAACTAAAACTAAACACAGATTCCTACTCACACAGACTACACAAAGAACACACTCGGTACAAGGACTGTTTATGTGGTGGCACAGTAGGCATTTTACATGAATTTTACCATTTGGCTTGGTTTTATTAACACTTACAGTACCGTCGGCGACAGTAGTCTCCAGGCCTTAGTATCCGCTAACTACCACTAGCGACTTAATCGCCGATGCAGCCAGACACACTACACATAAGTAAATAACGAATGGATGCACTGCACTGAGGTAAATACCAAAAGAAGTCACTCTATATGATAGCTGAATGGTTGATGAACCTCTCTGAATTTTTAAAGCGTGTTTCTTAGGCTGCCAAGGTTTTTCAAATTTTAAAAAAATCTACCACGGCTTCAGCGTTCTAAACTGTGAGCGGTACCCAAGGGTTTTTCACTTTATGAGCCTTCAGTATTTTAAGTGTTAAAGACACATATTAGATTTGGAGGTCAAGCCTCTTGAATGAGGTTACAATGTTACAAGGAGTGTTGTGGGTGGTTGGTGGGTGCTCTGGTGTGGTTTGCTCCTTCTTTCTTATGGAGTGTCTATCACCCTTCTCTCTTCTCCTTTTCTTTGTACTTTACTCTCTAGATCTAGTAATACTTCTAAACTTCGACACTTATATGAAATGTGAGGCATCGTGGTTAAATCAGGCGCTCATCGAAATATTGAAATCAAAGAAAAGGGCATTTTTCCTACTGTTTGGGCAATTTTTACCGGAATTTTGTTTTTTGGCTAAACACATTTTTATGTCCGTATAAAAGAACATATCTATGTGAATTTTACTGAAAGGCATTTGTTAAAGGCATAAAATATGTAAATTTTCCGTTTTCAAGAACTCTCAAGCTGTAGAAGTTACCAAACTTTGGCTTCTATTTCTCGCTAATTTTACCCCTGAGACCAGGCTACCCCCACCTCCTTCGATGGTAAATATCTTGACCTCTATTCAAGACACAGAAAGCAAGGCAAATGAACAAGCTCTCCTATAATACCAATAACTCCACCTGCCCAAAAATTGATGAGTGTCTGATTCCACCGTGTTGTCACACATATTTGTGTTACAAGTGCTGTAAAACTCTCTTACTGAAACTAAAAACAAGAGGCGATAAACATTTTAAAAATTTCGCAATTTCAATGCACACTGTCTGAACAATTGAAACTTGTTATTTTTTACCAGTATCACTCTCAACTAAAACATTTTTTTTCATCCTCATTCTGCATTCCAGGAAGATTTGTTCAGCCTTAAAGTTTCCAACGAAGTTCACCACATCTCCATCAAGCGAGGCATCCAGATCCTCCGGCTCAACAACTTCAACGCTAACTGTTTACGACGACGGCCGACCCCAGATGAAGTGAGTGTGGGTAGAAATGTTGATCCAAGTGATAGGGCCATTCTATGAACAAATTAAACCTTCAGTGACATGTAACGTGGAGATAATGACCTGATGAAAAAATTCTAAGCAGTGACAGAGACATTTTGTTTTTTTGTTTTCAAATTTATTTTTTTATTTTTTTAGAAATTCATTTTAAAAAATGTTTTTTTGTTATTAGAGGCAGCCTCACTCAACCCCACTTGCTCAGGATAGGTGGTTGGCATGTGCTGAGATGTGGTTTGCTCCTTCTTTTCTATCAAACATCTATCGTCTTTATCTCTCTCCTTATTCTTCATGTTGAATGTTACTCTCTAGTAACATCTCTAATCTTTAGCATTTATATTACCTATTTGTGTTGTAAGTGCCTTTAAACTCTTTGTAAAATTATGCTAAAACTAAGCCAGAGACCTGTCATGTGTGTACCTAACTGAGCTTGAAAAAACAATCTTTGTCTTGTTCTGTACCAGCAAAACCGACAGATGCTTGGCAATGCTGGCGAGGTGGTGCTGTGGACAAACCACCGTGTGATGGAGTGGCTTCGAACCATCGACCTCTCGGAATATGCTCCCAACCTAAGAGGCAGTGGTGTGCACGGGGCCCTTATGGTATGTTGGACTGGCAGTTTTGGTTTAATGTTTTAAAAACCTTAGTCACCTTAGAATATCCAACCAGCTGTTAACTAGCACAATCAGCAGGCAGATCCTTTCATGGATCCTGGAGAGGGAGGAGGGGGGAGCAGCTATGGCATTGTGCCGCCTGGAATGATGCCTATTCTCCAACCAAGTCTTAGTAAATAAGTAAGTCACAGTCTATGAAGTTTGTATCATTTGTTTGAGAAAGCAACAGGTTTTTTTTTAATGCTCACCCAAGCACTAGAATTTGATATATGATTATGATTATTATTATTAATATTAATATGGTTTATTATCTGTTTACTATTATTGTTAATATTAAAATTGATTATATTATTATTATTAATAATATTTTTTGTTCTGGTATTATTATTAATATTTTGAAATGTTATTAATTATTGTTATTATTATTATTATTATTATTATATAATTATTGTTGCCCCCAGGTTCTGGAGCCAAGGTTCAATGCAGAGCTGTTTGCTGTGCTTCTGTCTGTGCCCAGCAGCAAGACGCTGATCCGCCGTCACCTCAGCACGCACTTCATCAGGTGGGTTCTGAGAATAGTTCTGTTGTTTGTGTGTCCATTCAATAACTAAGCGTGTGTGTGTGTGTGAGAGAGAGAGAGAGAGAGTAAGTGTGTGTGTAAGTGAGCTGACGAATGCATGTGCTTGCTTTTATTTACCATGCAGCAGCAAATTTTTCTTTGTGTACATAAAAAATTATGTTATCTTATCTTATCAGCCTGATCGGCACAGAGACACAGACACGCAAACGAGAGTACGAGTCACAGCCTGGGTACATGCCGCTGGCGGCCAACGGCAAGGTCAAGGTGAGAAAGACAATCCCACCGACCCTTGGGTGATGTTTAGACACTGTGTCCCAAAACAATTTTTTTTAAATATGCTATGTACATAAATAGCCAAAACTCCTACTTTGCAAATCTTTTGAAGATTTGGAATATTACTTAACACTGCTCCCACTGGATGGGATCAGCAACCGAAAAAAGTCATCTCTTTCCCTTTGGTTATGCTGATCGCTGACCGTATAATATCCAACAAAAATGTAGGAAGGATCTCCTTATTGACATGCACACTTGTTAAAGTTATAATTTCCTTCCTGAATGGTTTGTGTGGTCTTTGAGTGCGAAATTTAGTTTGTTTACTTACAACAATTGGAGTTAAAAGTGAAAATCTTTGAAAAATGTTGAGAAGATTTGACATGAATGCTTGATGAGGATTCAAGGGATGAATGTGCTAGATCTAATAATTTAGTTCCAATTCTGATTCCTATTTTGATGAACATGCAATCGTCATATTCAATTTTCTCAATGTGCGGAAAATTTCATAATGGTCAGGTTATTTTTTGCTGAGATGCAGGTGTAGCACTAATGTCTTTATGCGTAGGGACAAACGTTTTGCGCCGTGGGGGTAAAAAGTGTTATTAATGCATTAATGTGTCTGCAACATGTGTGAAAGTTCAGTGCGTTAATTGGGTCTATAAAGTCTTGGGGGGTTCAAGTGCAACTTAGTGAATGGTCAGGTAATTCCACAAAATCCCAGTGGTATCTCTATTCTTTTCTTCTTTTCAATATCCTGTGACAAATTTTTTGTTTGATCTCTCTTGCAGAAAGGAAAATTTGGTCTGTTTGGACACAAACGCACAAGATCGGAGCCTGAGGCAGAGGGTTTGATATGTCCCCCTGATCTGAATGGTCAATATCACAACTCCAACGGCACAAAGGTTAGTCACTCTATCTCAACATTAAGAAGGTTTTAACTACCTATTTTTTATCTGAACTTGTTTGTTTGCTGACTTGTAAAAAAGTCTTTCTGCGGATGGTTGGCAGCTGCTCTGGTGTGGTTCGCTCCTTCTTTCCTGTCAAACATCTATCGTTCTTTTTCACTCCTTCTATTAATTTCTCATTTACTCTCTAGTAACACTTCTTATCTTCTGCCCTTATATGACCTTATTATGTTGTGAGTGCTGTAAAATTCTGATTCAAATTAAAGTCTCTCTCCATGTTGCATACTGAGAGGTAGGATGGGTTGTGTTTTATGTTAACAGCCTCTTGGGGAGGGGGGTTGTTCTTTTCCAGCAAGTTACTTTGCCCATTTTTATAGGCCTTTTTTAAAGGATGTTCTTGTTACTTCTTTCTTTTGTTATTTGTGTGCACCATATTACTTACTCTTCCCCCTCCCCCTCCCCCATCCCTCTTTTGTGCTGCTCTTGAGCAAGAGAGTCAGTAACCAATTTTAAATTTGATCCTTGGTTTATGGATTTGATATACGCTTCTGCCCTTCTCCATTTTCTCAAAATGCCATGTACATTTTACAGAAGAGTGAGAAAAAGCAGCACACAATGGGTGGTCTGCTCTATATGTGTGTCATTTGTTTTGGAAGAGTGTTGAGAGAGAGATAGAAATACCATGGGTGGTTGGTAGGTGCTCTGGTGTAGTTTGCTCCTTCTTTCATATCAAGCACCTGTTGTCCTGATCTCTCCTACTTCTTTTTGTGTTTGTTACTTTCTTGTAACACCTCTACTCTTTGGCACTTATTTGACCTTACTGTGTTGCAGTGCCGCAAAACTCTTACCAAAACTAAAAAACTAAGATAGGGATACCTAACATCAGGGTCAAAGTTTGCTACCGTTGTAATAAGTCTTTTCTAATTACTTACATAGCAACAAGTTTTTGTTGGGGGTTTTTTGTGTGTGTGTGTGTTCTTCATTAATTTATGTTTTGTTTTAATTTCTTTTTATCAGCGTGATGACAAAGCTGCCAAAGAGATTGGGGCCTATTCACAAGAAATCAACTCCTTGACGGTAAAAAATGTTTACGTCTACCATCAAACCTGTCCAAGATGACCACCCATTGTTGAGGAGAAAAGTAATTATTATAGACAGGTGGTCCTCTTGGACAGTGCCATAATGTAGAAAAATATTGTTGGAGGGAAACGGGAAGTGGTCATGCGTACAGGTGATTGTCTTGAACAGATGGTTGTATGAGCAGGGTCAACTGTATTTAATGTTATACTTTTATAGCAGGCAATTTGTAATTTTAACATTGTTTGTGTAATGTGGTGGACTTGGGAAGACAAGTGTCTGATGTAATGGTAAGTAAGGCTGTCTGCGATGCATGCAGAAAATGTGAGTTCAATTCCCAACACAGAAATTGTTTTTAATTCTACATAAAGGGTGTTGAGCCAGAAGTAGATATTTTTTTTTATGCCAATGGCTAGCAAAATGCTGGTTTCTTTGAGTTCATTATTTCGACAAGCGCCTGATGTCACCACAAATGTTCACTTTCGTCTCATTTCTCCACAGAACATGTTGGCTCACGAACGCTTCATGGACTCTGCCAAGACATCCAACGTGTAACAAACAAATGACTGCGGGGAACAAGACTTGTCATCATGTGTGGATATTTGTCAATCAGCTGTTCGGGGAGTTATTTTTTTTTCCCCTGGAAATTTCCCCCCACCCACCATCTCCTTTCCCCCCCTCCCCATCCTTCAGACCATGGGACTTGTGTAAACATCTGTGGAGACATGTCATGTCATGTTGATTTGCCCCGGCTCTGATTCTTCTGTGAGGTCAAGGATCAAGGTTATTGTGGGTGTACAGTGAGCAACATTGACAGCCCATCTGCACACGATCAGAAGTACAGAAAGACAAGATCCTGAGCTAACTCCTCCTCAGTTGGTCAGTTGTTTGGCCCTGTGCATCTGAAAGAGTGGAAATGAATAACCTCCCCACCCCCTCCTCCCCCTCCCAAATGATCTTCATGTGTCGACGGAGATTTCAAACTTTTGGAGTCCTATTGGGAATCATCGAAGCTGTTCTGATCTTCATTCACGCAGATTTCACACAAGCAGAAACATTAAGGGTTCTCTGATCTTCAGTTGCATAGATTTTGCACGTGTGTGGGAGTCCTCGAGGCTGTTCTGATCTTCGGTCACTGAGATTTCACACATGTGGGGGTTGTCATCTTCTGCTGGTCAGTGGACGTTGGTCTAGGTTTGTTGGACAGTGTCAAGATCGTGTACAGAGAGCGATATCGATATTCGTGTGGATGTGTGTGCTCTTTTGTGATAGGCATTGGAGAAGTTCAAGATGTTCTGGGATTTCTGCTATGTTGGTCATGCATTCAGCTTCAGTTGCCGTGCAGCTCAACAGTGCTTGAGTGATATTCTCATCTTCGCATGCAATACAGCTCGCTTGTAAACCATCGCTGTTGGAGGGGAGAGAACGTCATCTGATCTATGTTGCAATAACGTGACATCTGTGCTGCAATTTGGATGTATGGGGAACAACTTTTCTCTCGGTCTCGGCGCTTTTTGCGGTTTACACCGGTTGCTGCCTCTAACTTTATTTTAACGCATTGAATGGGGTGTAAAAAATGTTTCTCTCCCATTTTCAACTCTCCTCCTACACTTCTTTGCTTCTGCACCCGTTGCAGCCTAGTGAAAGGCATCAGGGGAAGAGGCCACTTTCCTGTTGCTGGTGAGGGCAGCGTCTTGTGCCTGGGTTTCTGCGGAGCTGACAGGTTGAGACTCATGGCTCCACGAGCTGGCGGAAGGTGTTTGAGGTCTTTGCACTCTCTGGAGCATGACGACCAAGCCAAAACACTGATGTGAAGGTGCAACACATACAGGAGAAGTGCTAGAACTCTTTTTTGCCACCCACCTATTTCTTGCTACGCACGAAAAAAATATTTCCTAACATAGAAAAATTCTTGCCCTTTTTGTATGATGCAACGAACTGCTGCAGTTTTGTGGGATCCACTTCATATTTTGTATGATGATCATGTCCAT